ATAAGACGCACCGGCGTATAAGACGCACCAAACTTTCGAAGAGGAAAGTCTAGGAAAAAGTTTTTGTCCTCCCTGGCCCCCAGGAGCACTCTGCAGGCTTCAGCAGGCCTGGGGGAAGGCAAAAATGCCCCCATTTTTGCGAAAAAACGGTGGAAAACGGGCCATTTTTTGTAAAAATAGAGGCGTTTTTGCCTTCCCCCAGTCCTGCTGAAGCTTGTAGAGTGCTGCTGGGGGCTGGGGAAGGCAAAAATGCCTCTGTTTTTTTCAAAAATGGGATTCGTGTATGTGGCTTTGGGAAGTCAAAAATGGCTGTATTCGGTTATAAGACCCACCAACATTTCCACATGAGTGGAAAAAAGGTGTGTCTTATACTCCGAAAAGTACAGTACCTGTAATGGCAGAAATAGCTGTACGCTAAGGAAGTGGAAGGCACACACAGCGAATGTATAGTGTGTGTGTATTAACTGTTCCTTCCGCATAGATTTTGTGTAAATAGAAAGATCGCCTTGCATACACAGGAGAGACAACGGGAAAGGGTGGATGAAGCATTGAAGGGATACAAACCTGAGCGGGACGTCCCATTCGGCGGGAAGCGAGGGGGATGCTTCGCCTGCTTCTTTGTCTGCAGCTCATGGGCTTCTACCTCCACTTGAACCTGGGCAGCTTTGGCCACTGGACCAGCCGAGTTCTTCATTCTTTTGCGCCGGCGGTCGACGAGATGATGCTGGACCTCCTGACGCCCGATCTCCCGTGGAACCACCAGCTCCTGCTCAACGCGCAGGAACTGATTCAGCTGCTTGAAAAAAGGCCACGTTCTCCTCCCAGATCCCCAGTGGCTGTGCCCTCCGAGGCAATCCTTGTAGCTTTTCCGGAGATGTTTGGCTTTTTCCCGGCACTGGAGCCAATTCCGGTCATAACCCCGGGCCTTCATCTGGCACGAGATCCACTCAAACTGAGAGACGGTCCGGTAGTTGGAGAAGAGGGCTCGCTGTACGGATGTGTCCCCCCAGATCTCAATAAAAGCCTGGATTTCGTCTTCGGTCCAGCGGGGATGCTTCCAGTGAGAACCCGCGAAATCCCGGAGAGGGCAAGAGATGTTCCGGGAGAACCGGGCGCATCCCGACGGGCTGGGCGCAGCCTCCGAAAGCGAAGAGTCCTTGGGTCCTAAGTCGAGAAAAATGGTGAACACGAACAGAAAACGAGGCCATGTTTCACTCTGGCGTGGCAGGTAAAGTCTTTTTTTTGGGGGGGGGTATTTTTAAACGCTGGACAGAAGGGGTAAAAAGTCAGCAGGGACATGGCACAGCTAAGGTAGGAAAGGCAAAATCATCACAGGAGGTAGGTGCGGAAAAGCGGACGCCAACCAAACAAGAGGGTGCCTACTTGGGTTTGGTATTTATTTTTCTTTTCGATCGGTTCAACGCCAATTTGGGACGTTCATTTTTACGTTTGTTTGCCCCTCAGGGGTTCCCTTGGTTAGATAGGCAGCCGTATACATTTGATTAATGAAGCAACAGGTTCTCCGAACAACAACTGTTAAGGGGATGTGTCTTAAAACAAAACACACAACTGAGAAATGGGATTCAGCAATGACACATTAAGTATTGTTTTTATTATAATGGGGGATAGAGTCTTCTCAATAAAGCACAGACTAGGTTCTTACTTTGTGGATCTCATGTTTGCACTCTCTTGCTCTCCCTCCCTCCCTCCCTCTCTCTCTCAGCAGATCTAAAGATATTTTTTTGGGGGGTAATGTTGAGGCCCACCAGCAGCTAGCAGAACTGGCAGTAGAGTTGGACAGTAAAGAGATTGGGGAGGAAGCAGGGTTGACTTAGGACTAAAGCCACACCTTGGAGGTGATTGGCCCCTCCCATAGGAAATAAAAGAAGAGCGAATGGGGAGTGGGCTTTTGCAGGAAACAATTCGTTCATTCAGTTGTTTCAAGAGTGGAACATTCTGTTTGTGGCTATAAGAGACTCTGTGCCAAGTTTGCCTTGCCCTGAGTTTGGAAACTGGTTATCTGGCAGTGCTCCAGATAAGGAGATAAGGTTCGTGTGGATAAACATTCCTCTGAAAGACTGTTTACTAAGCCTTGTTGACTGTGGATGAAAGGAATTCACAGTGGTGTAAATAAAAGAGGTTTTGCAAGGACCAAGACTTTGCTTCTTGCTTTCTAAGGAAGCCTGGGTCAGAACACCTATCATTTGCTCTTATCAAGAGCCAACGTCCCAAGATCTTGCCAAAATGGATATTCAACTCATACAGGCAGAGTTATGCTGTATACAAGTTCACCAAACAGATCCGTATCTGTAGCCTCATTTTACTAGATGTTGTGCATGCTTTTGTTTGCAAACACTGCCACCTCAACAACACATGCTACAAAGTTTTCCAAAGCTGTGTGAAATTCAAAGACAATTAATCGCAAATGTCTTCCTGTTCCCTCCCCCCCCCCGAGATGTAAGTTTTTGCACCATAACGTTAAGAAAAAATACAGGGAGGAGGAGCCAAAGTCGCGACGATATGGTTGTGTGGTCTCGATGCTCTGAGACCGCAGCCAATACTTTTGCCACTGGGTGGTCCAAACGGACCTAAACCGTCCCGAAGAGACGGTGAACAGGAAGAATACGTCTTTGCTGATCTCGGGGATATCGCAAAATCCCTGAAAGAAGCAAGAGAAGTTCTTCAAGCCGGCGGTAAAAAATCCAGCCAAGGCTGACGAAGTTGGGGCGACTCCTTAAACGGAAGGATGCGAAAAGAGAAAGTGTTTCCAGCAGTTGAGGAACTTTTACTGTTTGAAAAAGAGACTGCCTATAAAAACTTAAAAATTAATTTAAATTGAAGAATAGAAGAGTGAAGCGGCGTAATTAAATTTGGAATGGTTTTGGACAGTGGTTATCGTACTTTTTAAATGCTATCTTCATGGATGGAATTTATGCAAGCCTTTTGAAATGTATGGATTAAGTTTTCTTCTTCTACCTTCTCTTTAGGATTCTCTGTAATCTATAAGCTAAAGTTTTTCTCTTTCATTGCTGTGGGTATTTTTCTAATTCATTTAAAGATTGGACTCCTTTTTCCTAACTTGAAATAAAAAAAAAAGATACAAAAGATCATTTTAACATCACCGATTGTTTTTGACTTGGCACCATAAGGTTTTACTGCTTGGTTACAAAGGGTGATAAGAAGGGAAGCACACAGATGGTCCTTTGAAGTAGAAACAACATCCTTTGTGAATCTATGCTTTAATCTTATTAACCTTCCAAGCTAGAGCAGCTGTGTTTGTTAGAATGGCAAATTTGCA